AGCGAGGTGGAGGGAGCGGCGTGGGAACTGGGGGGTCGGCGAGGCGCGCAGGGCTGAGCGGCTCGGGGCTGCTTCTCCGGTCCTAGCCCATCACTGCTCCGCCTCCTCCTCCTCCATGGGCCGAAGACCGCCGAGGATCAGCGCGCTCCGGCTCCGGAGCCCGGAGACCAGGTGAGGAAAGTTGCTGCCTCGATTTGCGGGAACGTCTTGCTCATTCGTCCTCCGGTCAGATGCAAAAGTGGGGCGTTGGGTGGGGGGATGCAGGCGGGGAGAGAGGCGGGGGGAGAAGAACGAAGAACAAAGAACCTGGAAGGCAGAGGGAACTGGCCCAGTTGGTGCAGGGTCTCCGATCTACGCGGAGGAGCTCCAGCAGGTTAAGTGGAACCCGAGCCGCGCTCGGCTTCCCTCAAACGCTTCTTTTCTCCTCCCCTCGGAGGCCCCACCCTGTACTCACTGCCCGCCCCAGCCCCGCGGACCCAGACACACTCACACGCGCACACACGCACGCTCCCTCTCGCTCAACTTTGCGCTGTGTTACTGGAAAGTCGAGGAGGGCTGCGTCCTCCAGACACATCAACCCTAACCGAGTGGCCGCAGCAGAGGCGGCCTGGGCTGTCCCCCGAGAGCGGCAGTAATGTCCCCGAGCGCCTGCCAGGGGGTCTGAGAGGTGGCCAACTGTGCCACGTCCCATCGCTTAGTGGGAAATCGTCTTCCTGGAGGGCAGTACGTCAGCGAATATCAGAGCTCCGCTTTTAACTCTGGCATGGATGAAGGACAGGAGTGAAAGAAGCAGGAGGCAGAGAAGGAGGCGAGAAATGGGAAACCTTCAGTACTCTGAACGGTAGCGGCTCCTTTCCCATTTGGACCTGACATAATGTCTCGTAAATTGCTTCCATTTACAAGTGCGGGGCTGGGAAAGAGGCAGCTTCCAGCGCCGCTGCTTTTCTTAATTTCTTTTGACTGTCACGTTTGAACACTGGAAATAGGCTATTTTAACAATGTAGGTTTGGAGACTATTTCTCTGAAAAAGGACAGGGACACTTCTCTGGGGAAATCAGCATTTGATCGTGTTGGCTTCATTTCTTTGGAGCGTTGAGAGGAACGTTCTATATAAATGTTTGCTACTTTGCTACTTCTGTATTAACATCTCATAGAGTTCTTTATTTTTTTCCTTAATAGGGCTTTTGGAGAATTTACCTACACTGAGTTAATTTATAAGAAAAACATCCATAATCATATGGCCCGCAATTGGAAATAATTAAAAAATAAACCTACCTCAAAATTCAGGTATTCATTCTTTCAGACATTCATTCATTCATCAAATGTGGACTGAATATGCTACCTGACTCTACCTTCCTGTGAAGAGCCTATAATGGGAAAAAAATATGCTATCTATCCTCTCAGGGAGGTTATAACCTCACAGTTGGAAGCTAGTTGGTTCACATCTGAAGTATTGTGAATGGTTCTGGACACTTTGGAAAGAGAGCTGACAAAATAGACACAGCCACAGATAAGAAAGGGTTTTAGTAATGGATTTTATGCATGGAATGATCGAGGGAACCATGAAGAAATCAGGGCATATGCTAGTTATCTTCAGAAACTTGAAGAGCTCTTGTGTTAAAGGAACCTTATTCAATATTAGTTAAATGAGAAGACATTTCAAAAGATAAAAATCTGGGACAGAAATCAGAGAAGAGTAAATTTCAATTTATTTTGGGCAGCATTTATAAAACCAAAGAACATCAAACAACGTCATGACCTGCTTCAGAAAATAGTCAAAACATCCATCCATCCATCCATCCATCCATCCATCCATCCATCCATCCAATGCATTACTCACGGGAAACCTACTTTTCGTGAAGCATAGTGCCATATCTTAGACACATAGCAGGAATATGGTTGCTGCCATCATCAAATTCAGAGGCATTAAAAACTGTGGTTTTTACAGAATGGCACAGGGTGGGTGCGGAAAAGAAGGATTTTAACCCCACTGAGGAGCCTGTAAGGTCTCGTTGAGGAAGTGATCCTGCAAAATTCAACAAAGGAGAAATTTATAAGTGGTTGGTTAATTATTTCTAAAGTGAGACTATATTTTTAAAAATCTGTTAAAGGGTTTATTTTTAAACCTTAGAAATTGTGTCAAGAGCACTTAGTCATCTACCTTACCTTGGTGCATCCAGGGCCAATAATTAAGAGACATTTCATGGCTACAGTTTGAGAACTCAGGGTCCAGAATTAAAGCAAGTTCTGAGCAAACCATACTTCAGTCTAGGTTTGACCAGATTCTAGGTTTTCAGCCTTGATTCAATTGCTTTCACTCTCTGCAGCAGGTGCTGGAGCTTAACCATATCTTATTCTCTCCTTCCCCTGACATTTGAAAGCCTGTGCCATTTTAAAGCGTTTAGAGCCAGTAAAATGGGCGTGGGAGTGGTAGGTGAAAAGGAAGACGGTGAAAAGATCCTGCATGGCCCGCAGGACTCTCTTCTCCTGCCAGGGTAACTCAGGAACAAATTCTCTAGATTCAAATGGAAGCAGCCTGTTGCAAGGAAGTTACTCAGAGTAGTTATCAGACCTTCAATAATTTAGTGATAAATCAGTGAGAACTCAAACACATGTTTTCTTTTCTTTTTTATTCATTAAGTTAATTGGTACATTTTAGGTATGCAATATGTTGACATTCGTTATTGGTAATTTGTACCTTTATATGATCTATATTGGTTCTTATGTTTTCCCCATTCCTCTGCCCTCCTTTCAACCCCTCCCCTCTCGCGATTTACAAAGACTTTGTTTCCATTTCTCATATTCACCCACTAAAATTTTAAGATGTTTGTTATTGCAGCACAATGTGACCCATAAACTCAATATCCTCATCTGTAAAATGAGAAGAATAAAAACAGTGTAATAGCACCACTGAAGGAGTATATGAGGTGATATATATAATATCCAAGGCCCTTATTACTCAGTATGTATCAGTGTGTATTTCTGCTAATTATAATTTTGTTTAATGATTCTATGCCTATATTTCTAGTTTAAATATGCCCCATATGGTAGAGACTAAAATGTGTTGTCTGATGGGAAATGAGTCCACAATATCAGTCCAATTAGTGGTATGATTATAGTAATTGGTCCAATACTATTTAGGGAACTATTGCTACTTTTAAATGTGTACCCTCAATGCTATGAGTAAACAGTTCTTTTTGGTTGACAGCAGTAGAAAGATTAGATTTCCTAAAGGAGATTTCTTAGAGAATAAATGGCACACTTAAATTACTTTTCAGTATCATCTATAGAATTCTGTAAAGCTTAAAGCTGAAATTTATCTCCTTGTTAAAATGCCTCCCTTCACTGCTCATATAAACAGGCTCATGGTTTTGAGTCACCCATGGGTGAACTTCAGCTGCTATTAATTTTTTATGCTTTTTAGAAGTACTGTATTTTGTGCATGTACACATCCACTGATTTTTGGCCCCAAATGACTATGGTAATCACTCTTGACTCACAGTTTTTCATAGTGCTCTCTTAAGAATAAAAATGTCCAATTGAACGCATACCCTCTTTTTCGCATTCCTGAAATACTAAGCTTAAATTCAAGCACCGTGGTTTAATAATATGGCAGTTGTTAACCAAGCAGCCTTATGCTTCCTATGAGAACTGGGGTCATTCCTTAGGTATTAATCCATTTTAAATGGTTTATTTTCTAGATACAAAGAAAAATAGCTTAAACTAACCTAAGGAACTCAAATGTAGCTGTTTTCAAATTGTGAGTCTGACTTATATTGTTACCCAGACACTGAAAGCAAAAGATCATGTGGCTTTCGGTGCCTATTGGGAGGATGCCATTGATTTGGGATTAGAATTCTGATTTCTTGGCTATGTCTTTATATTTTTCTGTTAGGTGATGTCATGTAACTTTATGATTTTAAATATCATCTTTAAGCCAAGGATCTTTTGCACAAATTGGGTCTCTAAACTCCAGATTCAGGTAGCCAACTCCAATTACCATTTTTGTCTGACACAACATCTAAATAGTATTTCAGTATGAATACAACTTTCTCTCAGCTATTAAAATGGGAAACAGGTTATTCTTGATTTTTCCATTGTTTTATGCCTCCACATCTAGTTTAATTTAACTCATAAAACTTTTAACTCATAAAACTCATAATTTAACTCATAAAACCTTTTAAAAATCTACTTCTCTGTAGTTGCACTGCTATTATAGTTGCTTGGGCTTTCTCACCTTCAAACTTGTGGACGACATCTTTGGGCTAGAAATCCTTTCTTGCTGAGGCTTTCCTGTGCATTGTAAATGTTTTGAAATTTCCCTGTGCTCTCTCCACTAGATGTCAGTAGTACCTTCTCCCAAAGTGTGACAACCGAAAAATGTCTGCAGACCTCGTCAAAAGTCTTTGGAATACAAAGTCATACTGGTTGAGGACCACTGCGTTAGCCTAAGCCGCTATGATGTACATCTGATCTGTTACCATAGACTCTTCACTGTCCCCTCCCTGGCTTGCCTCTCTATTCATCTGTCCCTCCAGTATGAATTTGCTCCTCACAAGGTTTGCCTCACAACTGCAAACTATAGTTCCCTCATGGCCAATGTCAATTCTCTAATTGTTTTTTTTCTTATTTTCTTGTAAACTAACATTTGTTCCATTCTCCTGAAATCTCGATGCCTGGCACTGTGCCTAATGCTGGGGAAGAGCTTAACTAATGATCTTCAAATGAATAAATGGAGGGATGATTTACAGATGCTGTCTTTACAGCCACACAACCTACAGTTCATAACCAGTAATATGCAAGATTGAGCTGAATAACGTTCTGATTTTTAAAATATCATTCAGAGCATCTACCTCAATCAGTTTAATATTTAGTATTATTCTCAGCATGTGAATGCGGTACATCACGTCTTGGAAAACTAGAGTGTAAACTTAAATGTGTTTCTTCAAATATACGCTATGGACTAGGGAATTCTCTTAACGTTCCATTTTTCAGCACCATGACTATCATTATATGCACCTTTGCAATTTTACTGTAATTTCCATTTAAACGCCTGTCTGTTTGCCAAAGCACAGTGGAATGCAGTTATAGTGAAATCTTTGAAAGAAAAAGCAAGCTCTAATTTATTCATCCCTTTCTATCCTATTGTAACAAACTGAGAATGTAAAGAGATTTAGTCATGTGAAGGTCTGGACCAAGGTGGTATTTAGCTGGTTCCATACAAAATAGGGGCTCAATAAAAGGTATGAACAACAAAGTTTCCGGCCAGGCACTCACAGTGTTAGGAGCCCTGGCTGACTCCTTACTACAGCTGACTGTGCTCAGGTGAGTATTTAGCCCTCATCTACCTCAAACATAGCGTGAAGTACTTAGATCAATGTTCTTCATTTTCCCTCCCAAGAGAAGGGTCCCCTTTCACAGTCAGTAAGAACAAGGACAGTTTTATAAAGAAAGGGTTCACATCTTTGATTATCTTCTCTTTGTAAGTAAAATTATATATGACAGAAACTGTTTTTTGTAGTTTTACAGGTACTAACTAATTGAGTACATACAGCCATGTTAGAAGATAGGTACTAATATTGTGCAGCATTACAGCTGGAGAAATGGAGGCAAAGAAAGATGAAACAACATACCAGAAATCACACAGCTAAAGGACAGAGCCAGAATTTGAAATGAGCCAGTCTGGCTCTAGAGTCTCCACATTTTAAAAATTGAAATAAAATTCACATAGCAAAACCTTAATCATTTAAAATAAAAACACAGAGATACTCGGTATATTCAGAATGTATTGTGGCCCCTAACTCTACCTGATTTTTGCTAGCTGGAAATTTGTGAATGAGGCAAGGGTAGGAAAGGTGCAAGCAGAGAGATAATGGGGTATGAACCCCAGCTGAGGACTTTGAGGTTGTTATAAGGGCTGACTTCTAATATGGATGAGATGGCAAATTGCTGCAGGTTTTGAATAGGAGAGTGGAACAATCAGGCATACGTTTTGTTGGGTTTTAGCTTATTTCACAAATCATATGAGTTACCAGAGATACAGAGAATACACAAGCTTCTTACCCTCATAGAGTGAATAGTTGAGTAAATCTTTCTTTAAATCAATATGCAATGGTAAATTATACCTATGATAATAATAGGCAACTTGAGGTAAAGAACCTGTGAGTACAGCTCAAGGATGATTTGTCACAAAAGCACAACAAAGCAGGAGGAAATAGGACACCACAGAACCTTTGTGATCCCATCTAGCTACCTCTGTATCCACCTGCTCCCTGACTGTCTTCGCTATCTTGACGTTGAGCGGCAGGAGGTAATTGAGCCCATTTGGAGACAATAAAGGTAAAATATTCGAACACTACTCAATTTATAATGGAGATATGTCCTGAAAAAACCCCTAAGTTGAAGGTATTGTAAGTTGCAAATGCATTTAAGTTGCTCAACCTACTCAACATCATATCTTAGCCTAGCATAATTTAACCATGCTCTGGGCACTTCATTGCCTTTTGGTTGGGCAAAGTCATATGAAACCAAGTCTATTTTATAATAGTGTTGATTATCTCATGTTAGTCTTTGTGTGTGTGTGTGGTACTAGGGATTAAACTCGGGTCCTTGCCCTTTCATGGTAGTCTTTAATACTGTACTGAAAGTGAAAAACAGAATGATGGTAAGGGCAGGCCTATGCACCATCATAAAATCCAAAAATGGTCTACATTGAGCTGTCTCAGGCCATCTGTCCACTGTTTTGCAGATTCCTTCCAATGAGTTGACATTCACTAATCTCCTAGTCTATGCATGCTTGGAGTCATCCTGACTTGTGCAGGTGGTCACTAATATTTGTTTCCCCATTTCACAGATGTGAACCCTGAGGCACAGAGTCCAAATGTGGGTTCCAGGGAAACTAAAAGCAGGTGATAAGAGACTAAACAAGCGGAGCTTGGGTTGGCCTAAGAGCCAGGAAGAGACTTCTCTGAGGAAGGTGCCTGAAAGAGCAGCTGGAGATCACTGAAAGTAAAGGGAAAAGACTATTGCAGGTAAAAGGAAGGCGCTTTTGTGTGATGCTCCCCATCCCATGCGGAACTTGAAATAAGGCCTCACTGCTGTGTGTGAGCTGAAGGGGCTGTGATAGCAAAAGACGTGGGAAATGTGTGCATAACCCAAGTGCTCAGCAATCTTTGTAGTGGAGCAATCCCAGGATCTGAGAATGTATCTGAAGGCAATACGAAAGCTCTGGGATCTGGTCACTCTTTGCTGCCTGTATTCACTCGTTCATTCACCTCCCCATTACAGCCTTCATAAAGCAGAGCTTTTCAGCACCCACAGTATCTGCACGTCCCATTATCAACTTCTGTTATCCCTCCCACTCCACTTTCCAGTCACATCTCATGAAAATCTTCCTTCTCACTTGAGTCCTGACCCACTGGTCCTTCTCTATCCATAATCACACCCAACTCTTCCCTCTCAGAATATTCCTGGAGTTGCTCGCATCACCTCAGGGGGTCTCTAGAACCTGCTTCGTTCAGGATTATTATACCTCACATCTCATTATTCAGGGAGGCTTCTTTAGTTCCATGATGAAAAACATTCCTACTTGGTTCACCACTCCTTAGCACGTGGTCCTTTTCCTCCTTAGCACGCATTACCAGCTTTAACTATTCTTTTCATTTTGTTTAGTATTTTCCTTTCTCCAGGTTGCAAGTACCTATTACAGTTAGGTTGCCAAAGTGTCCTGGCTCTGGGCTCATGCAGAGCCAACCCTAACCGCTGCTACAGGGTAGGAACACAATTCAGATTTGTAAACTGATGGCATCTGATAGGATGAGACAAGGAAAGGAAAGCCCAGGTCAGAAAAAGAGTGGTAAGTAGGTATGGCTAGTGCACACAGCATTTGTTGAAAGCTTTTATTTTTGCATAGTGTTTTAATTATTATTTTTAGCAAGCTCAAGTAACTTTAGTTTTAGAATGATTACAAAAGCACACAGAATCCTTAAAGAATCTATGTTAGAAAACTAGTAATTGCCTTTTAAAAAGCTAAAATTGAAGCTCACAACCATCTCAATATTCTAATTTTTATTCAGTCCACTCTTCCTTACAGATTTCCAGTTTAAATCTCTCGACAACAAAACACATTAAGCTTCATCATATTTAAATCATATAAATTAAAGAGGACTTCTAATTACCACAAGTCAGACTGATTTATCTCTCAAGTGTCATGCAGGAAGTTTTATCCATTTTTAAAAATTATTATATTTTACTTATCAAAGCAATACATGCATATAATCTTAAATATTAGACAGCAAATAAAAACACATCGTATCAACACCACTTTGCCGTGTTCTGCCACTCATTTTCTCTAAGTCTTCCAGCTCTTTTGTCCAACATTTGTGTTTCATACTTCTAAATAATAAAAATAGTCACTGTCAGCTTTATCAGTTTGAAGTGTTATCTTTTGATTTTTATTGTGATATCTGAGCTTTACACTCTCTCTTTTTTGAGGGGGGTGTTGGGGATCGAACTCCAGTCCTCGCGCTTGCAAGGCAGGCAGAGGAAACCCTGAACTAAATCCCCAGCCCTGAGCTTTTCAATCTTTAACATCTTCATCCCATGGTTTTCCCTTTGCCTTCTTCCTAATACACTAAGATTTTATATATATGCACATTTGGGGAGGTTGAGACAGGGTCTCACTGTGTAGTTCAGACTGACCTGGAACTCACTATTGTAGCCCAGGCTGGCCTCAAACTCACAGCGATCCTCCTGCCGCAGCCTCCCGAGTGCTGGGATTACAGTCGTGTGCCACCACGCCCGGCTAAGATTTTATATTTAATTACTCTTCAATGTCTACATTCTCCTCTATATCATGCTGGCTATGAGGCATGGCTAAGCACTATGGTGTGCTGTGATTACTTTTCCCTCTTCTGACTCGTTTTTCCTGATGTTAATTTTTGTTTTTTTTCTTTAGTTCATGCCTTTGTGTAACCAATCTTTTTCATAGCTATACAGTCTTCACATATCTGCCACTGCCCTCCCCTGCCACCGGGGAAAGAAACACCCTCCCTGAATGGCTTCATTTTTCACCTCTTAGTTCTAAGACATCTTGGCCTTCACTGCAGCTGTCACTTTAGCACTCTGATTGTCTACGACTTTCCTGTGTTTACTGTGTGATAAAATACCTGTTTTCTGTGTCTCATGTTCCAAGAGTATCTACTTGATTGCATTAAGCAGGACTTAGGAGGCTGAGAAAGCACACTTCTGGTACGTCTTAATGCGTCATGCTGACCTTGAGTACTATATATGGTCACTGGCTCCTCCCCCCCTGGGACTATTCCCTTGCTCTGCTTCTTGAACGCCATGAGATAAGCCTTTTGCTTTGCCAGTCTCTTCTACCATGTCTCTGCCTTGAAGCCAGACAACCACGGCTGACTTCTTGAAACCCTGAGACAAATCACATGCCTTCTTTCAGATGGAGGTGGTCGTGGGAGGACACGATACCCATTATGTCCCAGCGAAGGGAAAGCTGACTAATGTATACAGGAACCCAGGCTAAGGACCTGGCTCTCCAGATTCCCTTCCAAAACAAACCAGATCATTCAAAGATCAATTATTTGCTAGAAGGACAAATTCACTAAAACCTATTATTCTCATGGTTAAAGTTTATTACCAGTAAAAAGGTAAAGAATGAAACAAACCAAAAGAAGAAACACATAGGGTATCATCTGGGATGGTTCCAAAGGTAAAATATTTATTTCCTCTCCCCATAGAGTTAGGCTGTCTCCCCAGCTGGGCATTAAAATGTGACAGTATTCATGGAATAGTATTATCCAAGAATGCTCATATTAGTTTGGGCATAGATATTTTATTAGGGATTCGTTACGTGGGTATGAGATGGCTGAACCAGTGGCCCACAACTTTGGACTCAGCCTGTGGGCCAACTGACACTGTGTGAACCAAAGTCCTCTTCTGAATCCTACAGCTGGTCTTTCCACATGTCCAGCCACTATTGGGTGTGGTCAGGCTAGGACTATTGGGTGTGGTCAGTTATTACTCTAAATGAAAATACCTCTATCAGGAATGATATAGCCTACCTCCAAAAAACAATCAGAGCCCAAAGAAAGGCTAAATTTACTATCAATCTCAATTTGCTATACACTTAAAGTATATACAGTATATAAGAGTTATGTACCTTACTTTATACATAGCTTTAGCTTAGTTTGATATTTTGGCAGATCGAGTTCTCTGGAACTGCTCTCATTTTGAAGAAACAAGTAACAATAGAGCACCAGGAGTGATAACTGTGCCTGTCCTCTTCAGGGCCATCTCTGGACTAATAGGACTTCAATAAGGAAGTGTGGCCCTCTGCATGTATTTCAGAGTTTTCCGCAGGGATCTACATTTATTATCATGTTAGGAATCTTATTCTTGTTTTCCTATATTTTGCCTTTGCTGTTTTGTTTTTGTTTTAGCCTTCAATCCATCTCCTCCTGTCTCCCTCCCTCTCATTTTTTGTCTTCTCCCCTATGTCCATCTGTCTGTCTCTCTGCCTCTCCACTCAATGTGCACTATAGGACTATTATAAGCAAAAGTGCTTAAAACATCTCTCTAGAACTCAGCTTTCAGATGTGGTACCTGCCAGATTAATCCCTCTCTTTTAACTTGCATTGATTTCTGTGACATTTTGTCAAATTGAGTTTGTAATAATTCTATTATTTTTACACAATTTCTGTTACTGTACTTTAAATTTATGGGTATTTTCCTCCAAAGTTTTAAAAATTATCTTGTGCTTTTCAATAGATGCTGAATCTTTTTTGTTTGTTTTTGTTCTGACCTATCTCAAGATATTACCAGGAGCCTCTTTTCTTGTCTTTTTTATTAGTCATGTTTGTGATAAATAATGAATAGAATCATTTTGGGGAACTGACACATCGTGTACATGATGCATCTTAATTATCTTTAATTATTTTTACACCCCTTTCCCTCTCTCCTCTCCCTTTATCTCTTGATCCCTTTCTCTTTTTTTTTAATTTTACCTTTTTTAAAATTTATTCTTTGGTACCTGGGATCGATCTTGGGATCTTTCACTTGTGAGGCAGGCGGCCACACCCTTTTCTCTTTTATAAAACATCTATCTTCCTATTTCCTAACATTTATTTTTATTTTGTTCTTTAGTTATATTTCAGGTTTATCATATAAGAGAAACCATAAGATGCCTCTTTCATTTTGGGGGGGTTCTAATTTTTTGAGTTTTTCATACATTCTCGATCTTAGCTTACAGCCTGAGGTATAGCTGAGAAATGATTTTCCCATTCTTTAGGTTTTCTCTTTACTCTTGTGGCTATTTTCTTTGCTGTGCAGAAGGCTTTTGATTTGATATAATATGTTTGTTGACTTTTGACGCTATTTCTTGTGTGTTTTGGGCTTTGTTCAGAAAGTCCTTGCATGCACTGTAACTTCAAGAGTTGTACCTATTTGTCTTCCAGCATATTAAGTGTTTCTGTTTTAATATTTAGCTCTTTGACACATTTTGATTTTTAGTTTAGTATATGGAAAGAAATATAAGTCTAACATTTTTTCATTAAGCAATCTTTCCTGATTTCTAAATGCTTTTATCTTTTTAATTTAATGTTCAATTTTCATGGTAGGAACCTCCCTCAAATGTCCTTTCGCTCTTAGGTGCCTGCCCATGTGTACAGGAAGAAAGATGGAAATTTAAATTGCAAGCTATGAGTGAAACTGGCTGGACCTGGGAATGCTTTTAGCTTTTCTAAGGAGTGACCTGGGGTGACATTAGGGAAGCTCAGATGTTGCTGCATTTAAGAGTTTTAGAGAACTGGGCTGATTATATTCCCAAGAGAAGAATCTTTTGGTCAGTGCGGGCTACTAATAAACAGGAAAGCTAGTGAAAGAATATAACTACTGATCCTCAACTTTTGGAGAATTTGCCTTCAGTTTTATGTGAGGACTATGGGAAGGAGGAAATTATCCATTGGTATAGATTTATTTCTTAGGGGGCTGCAGCAATTCATCTATACTAGCTCTGTATTTCTCCCACATCCTGAGGTGCTCCTGGTTGCCTGGTCTTAACCATGTGAGTTTTCTATTGTGAAGGTCAGGTTGACTTTTGCCTCAGTAATAATATCATAAGATTTGTCATTCTTCAATTAGCCAGTATGTTTCCACACCTCTTCTTGTCTTTTCCTCTATCCTTTATTCTTTGAACCATTCATTGTAGTTTTAGTAGAATTTCTTCTTGAGAGGGGTACAATGTGCTATCTTCTTCAGAAGCATTTATTTTGTGACTTGTGATATAACTTGCATCCAGTGTCCCACCCTGCAGGTTCCCTAAAGTCATCTCTACTCACCTCTGTGTAAACATGACTTCCTGAAAATAGCTGGGTCTCTCTGCCTAAGTGTTTTGCTTCTCTTTCTTCCTTTCTTTCTCTCTCTTTCTCCCCCCCCCCGCTTTCTTTTTTTTGTTGTTGGTTTTTTTTTATTTTTTGAGAAGGTCTCACTATGTAGTTGAGACTGACCTGGAACTCACTGTGTAGTCCAGGCTGGTCTTGAACTCACAGCGATCCTCCTGCCTCAGCCTCATGAGTGCTGGGATTACAGGCATGTGCCACCATGCCCAGCCTCTTTCTTGCTTTCTTTCTCTCCCTCTTCTCTCCCTCTCTCTCTCTGCCTCCCTCCCCACCTATCTTTGGAGCCAGAGAGCCAATGTCCTAAGAACTTCATTGGATGAACTCTAAGGAGTGTTCTTCAATTTATCTTAGAGTTTCCTAAAGGGATTTACTTTCAGATGCCTGTAATGATTATTTACTTGGATGTGCAGTTTTGAAAATCTTTTCTCCCCAGAACCAGGAATTAAAACTAGGCTCTTGCACTGAGGTAGTACAGCCCGAGCAATTGTTAATTTTCTAAATTCTTTTTGAGATCGGTTCTTACTGAGTTAGTAAATTGCCCAGTCTGGATTCAGACTTGTGATCTTCCTGATTAAGCCTCCCAGAGTGCAGGCATAACAGGCATGTGTTACCGCACTGACTTATGTAGGAAGTAAGACATATTACAGGATGCAGACTGAACACCCCTAATCTGAAATCTAAAATTTAGAATGCTCCAAAATATGAAAACTTTTGAACACTTACATGAAACTACAAGCCTGATGGTTAAGTGTGTACAAACTGTTTCATGTGTCGGCACTAAATCATTTTATCAAATTTCTTACAGGCGTATATGTGAAATATAAATGCATTTATGCTTAGACATGGATTCCCAAGTTATTTCATTGTACACAAAATATTCCACAATCTGAAAAGATCTGAAATCCAAAATACTTCTGATCCCAAGTTCTTTGGATAAGGGAATTTTAGCTTGTGTTACTTGGTTAAAGCATCTTGAGCTTTTCTATGGCCAGTCACTTTTAGAAGCATATCCAGGACTGTGTAACAATTGCTTATAAATCATCTATAGTGTAATAGTAAAGTTAGGACAAATGACCTCAGTCATAAAATGCCACTAAACCCCAAGTGGGTGAAAACAGAAGTGCCTTACTTCTGTGAAATGCAGGTATTTGAAGCATATGAAATGATCTCTAAGAGCTTGCCACATAATGAAGAAAAAAGCGGATAAGAGGCAGTGAGATGGATATTTACCCCAAGGAAAGGTAAACAAATCTCCTCTTATACCAGTACAAACTATTGATCTGAAAACAATCACACAGGAAACCATTTCAGTTTATGAACTGATGCTCTTTTTATCTTTCAAATCCTTAGAAAGATGGCCTTTTGTAAAATACTGATCCAAAGGACATGAATCCTATAAAATTATGTAGACAAGCAACCGAGATCTTAGAGTAATATTGACTTTTGCATAGTTGCACAATAGTCGATGGGAGTAGTTTTCTCACAGCAGTAGGCAGTATCAGTGTTTCAACTCAATCTCTCTGTTTTCCTTCTCTAAGAACAATAATTTTATTTATTTTTTTGCTACTGGGGATCGAACTCGGGTCCTTGCGCTTGCAAGGCAGGCCACCGAACCGCTGAGCTAAATCCCCAGCTCCAGAACAATAATTTTAATTTGAAATCCTAACAGTGTCTTCTTTTTGGTGACCCACTTATTGCCTCCCTCTCCTATTTTTTTGTGTTCTCAGTATAAGGCAACTCTCTCTGTGTGTTTTCTACACAAAAGCCAGGCACTTGTAGCCCTGTTCCCACCTGGTGCACATCATGGAAAAGAGGAAGAACTCAGAGTGTGGTGCAGACTCTAGCCATGCCGTAGTAAATCCTCTGCAGTATTTGGCTACACCCCAGGCAAAAGAGAGAAAATGACAATTGCCCAGCCTATTGAGGAAGCCCCACCCCGAGTACACACTCTGGCCTGTCTTCCTCTGTGGGGATCCACTTGATCAAGCTACTTGAGGTCTCTGTGATAGTTACAGAGTCGGCGCAATTCCTCAGAGCTTGGGACAGCTCCTTCAATGGTAAGAACTGAAGTGAGAGGTACAACAGACCCTCAAGCCTTTACCCTTCTGCCCAGCCCCATAAATGATACAAATTCTGTGCTGTATCCCATAAGCCTGAACTATCATCCAAGACAATTTTCAAAATAGAGTATGTTCTTGCTGGTTGGTGTGAGAGAAAAGTGAGTCACTAAGAGTCTTAAAAATTTTCATCTTAAATTCCAAAGCACTCTACTCTGTTCATGTGTTACTTTGCTAACAATGCTGTGCTGCTTCTCTACTTAAGAGTTTTATTCATCAAACCTTTCTTTTCCCAGTATTGCTTAAATGCTGAACACAATAAGATAGCACTTCCTTTTAAGAGAGTTGCAGAGAGGCATATGATTCTTAAAATGAGTCAAAAGTTTAAGGTCATAAAGTACTTGCTTAAATCACATGCATACATTATTTTAGACAAGGTAAGATTAAAAATTAGTTTAGTCTTTGCGTTTGTTCACAGCAGTACAATCTTGATTTTTCTGATTTACAGGTAAAATGACATCTTACCTGCAAGTTCAGATATTTCTGCTTGTCTTTTTCATGTTTGATTTCTAAATTATACTTATTCTACACATATGGATTTAGATGTAGCATGATATTCCTTAAAAAGAAACTGCTGTTATTTACTTCATATGTCTCACTAGTTTTCTTCAACAAAAAGAAAAAATGAGAGAGAGGAAGAGAGAAATAGAGAGGAAGAGACAGAGACAGAGAAACAGAGAGAGAAGAGAACCTCCCAAACTTCAGTAAGCATACATATTATATATAACAATGTGTTAAATGTAGGCCACATAAATATAAAATGGAAGTTTCTTATTTAGTAGCAGCGATTTGTGGGCACAGGAGTTGGCAATGATAAAAATGTCCAATGTCATAAATTCAGTACATAGTTAGTCATGGATGGTGTTATTTGGCTCAAAAAATAGACTTTTATTTTGCCTTTCCTTTCCTTAACCACATTCAGAATTAGAGACAAGAGAGAAAAGAGCCAGCAGGAAGATAGAACACAAAGAGAACAAAACCAAGGAAGTGTTCAAAGAACCCGCTGAATACACTGCACATCTCAACCACAGAAATATTTTCAGGTGATTTTGGGTTTTTTTTTTAACAAAACGTGGGAACCACAGGATCTACAACACTTACAAGCAAAACTCAACAACTCTAATAATAGTTACAGAAGTGAAAGCCAATTTGTATAAAATAAGGCATTGACTGAAGTCCTCTGAGAGAAAAAAAAAATAAAACTTCTGAAAACAAAGTTTACAAAATCCTAGTTTTTCCCTATGGGAAATCAAGTGCCTCTTTGCACCTTGACTTTTTCTTTGGATTTCTTTATTACTGAGTGAATTTTCCTACAGTGTTTCTTCTCAATTTCGTTTCATGCACCTTTCAACATAAAGTGGCTAATAGGCTATTTCATGCTCTGGATTTTGGCTGAGAGTGCACTTTGAGGTCTTCCCTCCCTGGGAGGATGCAGGTGACATGAGAGATGGGCCTGAGTGAGATGTTTTAAAGGGCTGAGTGGCTTCATTCAATAATATGCCCAAAAGATAAATAATGAAAATACTACCTGAGTGCCTATTAGACATTTCTCTATGGAATGTAAAGGTATCTTGCTTTATATAAAATTAATATAAAGAATTGTGCATTGTTACCATTCATATTCATATTATGGGTGTAATCTATAAGCCAGTTCCATCCGTATGTAATCAGAATTAGATCATTTCTGTGCTGACACTATTTTTAGAACCTACGATACAGTTGTCCTCCCTTCAGACAGGCAGACCATTTGGGGACCCAGTATTTGAATTTCAGTTATACGTGTTGTTTATTCCATGTCAATTGACTATGCATTTTATTAATTTTAAAACAATAATAAAATAATGGACATTTTGTACAGTTATGTGTGTGAAGAAAGAGTGATCATACTGTTTCACAGACCAAGCTGACTGGAATAAGGGAAAGAAACTTAAATGTGGAATCTGACAACTCTATTTTGTGCTTTTGTTGAGCAAATCAGTTTCACTGACCTGCTAGTAGGGCCTCAGGTTCCTGCTCATTTCTCGCCAGTGATTTTCCTTTATAATTCCTACTTCTCTCTATCCATAGCCTTGATGTTCTTCCTATCTGTCAGTTCACTCACTACATCATGGGCTCTTCAAAATCTGATGTGATCACATTTGTATGCTTGCAATATGATGAACAGATTGCTGGCGGCATTGTGGTTGTGTAGTTAGAGACTAGTGTCAGGACTCTTGAGTGGATTCGTGCTGTATGATTTCATGGTGAGGGGAGAAGTGAACGGAGTGCTGAGAGACATATGGTTTTCAGCTGCCCGGAAGCAGCAGTACCAATCTGGATTTGAGGAGTGAGAAGAAAGGAGATGTCCAGGGTTACATTCAGGCTCTGGCTTCGGACTCCTGGTCCCCACCGGAACCCTGAACCAGAACAAAGTATGCCATTAGCTTTCAGAAACAGAAGTTGAATTTTGGGCTCAGTGATTTGAAATCTCTTTGGGACATAGTATCTGGAATATTTCTAGATCCTCGAGGGCTGTGACTTGCATCCAGTAAATAATCTCATCACATGGCATGGCCACTAAACAAAACCTCAAATCCAACAATAACTTTGATAGGCAAAATAGATGGGGGGGTCACTGGAAAGAGAGAGGAAGGAGTTAAATTCAATCTTACAGTTTAAAAAAAATTAAATTATCTTTCCAGGTAGCTTTTCCCCCTAAATTTCAAACAAAAAATTGCTAATTTTTAAATTTATTTCTCTTAAAACAAACTCTTTCTTTAAAACTACCCTCTAAATGGCAAAATTTTGCATCTTTTTCACTTAGCAATGAATATTAATATAGAATCTCAGTCTTAAGATTTCACTAATCTCTTATTTCATTGTATCCTGACACAATATATCTCAGTTTTATTACTAAGCACATCATATTCTCATTAACTGTCTGCACCTTCTCTATTTCTCTGTTTGATGCACAATCCCTCAGGATATGGTTGCTTTCTTGTTGTTAGTTGGTTGTGTTTAATGCAAGGACAGGCCTTCATTTAACCTTTGCTTAGTTAGAAAACACATGTTTATTGGGTGCATAAAAATGAAGAATTTTCTTTAGTATTAGCTTATTATTTTTCATTGAGTTTATTTTTATGAAACTTTCCTGGACCCACCAATTTGAAGTGTTCTCTCTGCAATAGGAAAATTGTGCTTACCTCTAGTCTATGGCTTCTACTTATCACACTGTACTCTATTAAGGTAATTCCATATATATTGTGTTTCTATAATACTAATCAGTACATTAGTTTTTGTATTCCCAATATCCATCCTATGCTTTGACAATGTCAGGTACTCAAAAAGTACTTTTAATTGAATTTGTGAATGTATAAATGGAATAAATACATTTTCCAATGTTTAGGTTTGGCGCTTTTAAAATGTTGATGGTCTTTGGATTTTTCACTTTCCATATAAATTCTTCTATATCTAATTGTTCATCTCATGATTACCTAGTTTATTTTGCTAGAAAGAAGAAACACATTTGTTTGCCTGGTTCGTATCCTTTTTTATTTTTTCATTTTGCTAGTTCTAATTGCTTAAAATATGTTAATGCAGTCACAAACAGGATATCCAGTCTGTCATCCTCAGAATGTTATCTTCAAGCTTGAATAATGGGCCTCCGTAATAAAATTTATAATATCTTCATAAAAAGGAAGGGCAAAATGGTTCTAGATAGACCATTGGCTGTGTTGAATCTTTTTAAGAACACGTCTGACCCATTTTTATCACTTCTACTCAACATAAAGTGAAAGTTGTAACCAGAACAGTTAGAAGAGAAAAAGAATTAAAAGGCATCCAAATTGGAAAACAAGAAATAAAATTATCCCCATTTGCAGGTTGAGTGCTAAGCTATAGTTAGGTAGAAGAGATAAGTTTTTGTGTCCTATTGCATGATAGGATGACTATAGACAATGATAATTTACAGTGCATTTCAAAATAGCTAGAGGAAAAGACTTTTAATACCCCCACTTTAAAGCAATGATTATGTGTAAGGTGATGGACATGAAAGTTACCCTGATTGGATTATTCATGATAGTTACCCTGATCTGAGCATACAATGCTTACACATCCATAAACATCAGATTATAATCATATATAGGCATAGTGATTGCATCAGTTAAAAACAAAAAGGAGCATACCCAAGATTTTGTACCTGTTCAGGAGGAATTTTTTTAAAATATCTATACTTTGTTGTAATTGCTTAAATATTTCTTTTTAAAGGCCACATCCATCTGAGGACTTTCTCCATTGGAATAAGTGCTGTGGCAAATTTATATGTCTTTTTTTATCCACCAATGGCAAGGCACTTAGAGCATTTTAACAGTCTTTTCAGTAAAGAATAACTTTACTTTCTTTAAAGTGTGAAACACCTCCAGAAGATGTTGTAGAGATTTTTTTTAACCATAACTAAATAGGACTACTGTACAGAAAATGAGAAATTTTTCATTAATTAGAATGACAGCAGGAATTTAGGAAGGCAGAATTTAATGTAATTAAAATGCAAAAATCATTATTTAACAAGAGTCATGCTACATTTCTTGAAGAAAATTCAATGAAGATCTTTAATTTCAGATGAGTCAATAATTTTATTTTTATGTCTCTCCTGAGCTTGTTCTAATTAGACTATAGAGTATGAATTTTAGAAAGAATTATAAATTTCTTTTCTCAGTTAAAATCTTTTGCTTAAGAGGTATGCTCACAACATTAAGTAAAACTTCAAAAACTGTACTTTAAAAACTAATATGAATATAGGGAACCAAGAATATTGAAAAAGAAATAGAATGTTCAGTAATCAGGGATAGGACTTAAAGAATGGATAAAACTGTTCCATTTATTCCATGTTTATTATTGTTTGCCTTTGACATTTTAAAACATTAAATTTTTAAATAGTTACAAAATTGAAAATGTGTATACATATAAATTAGCAGAGAGAAATTGGTCCAAAGCCCTCATGTAAGAGTAACAATTTTAATATTTGTTTATTAGTCTTTGTTTGGGTCATACTTTTTTCTTGTTTAATATATTTTCTAGCCTATCTTCACCACTTAGCAGTTTACCCAGAATATCTTCATGTCATAAAATGTTTCACTGAATGATTTAATAGCCATGTAGCATCACCCCATACGGGTATGCTAACATTTATTAAGCAATCACCTATCACTTGATTTAATTGCTTTTTATTTTTAAAAATTGTTAAATTTTGATAAACCATATCATAGTTCATAGGGTAAAATGTTATATTTTAAAATATACGCATAGTCAGTTTATATTTTGAAGTATACACATAAAATGTTTAAATCATGCTAATTAATATATTTATTACATCATTTATACTTCCTTTAATGAGAGATTTAAATTGTATTCTCAGTTATTTTTAAATATACAATATATTATTATTGACTATACTCACCCTGTTGTACAACGGAACTCAAAATTTATTCTTCCTCTCACTTTGAAACTATACCTTTTGACTAAAATGGCTTATTTATAACAAAGAGGAAAAGTTTTACTATGATCCTTTTCTGATCCTATATGGTAGATTTGAACTATAATTTATGCATTGCAAGGAGATATCAATTTTCCCAGCTTTGATTCTCCTAATTAAGCATAAACTCAAGATTAAGGTGTTGTTTATTTAACACACAAAATACACATAAAACAGTTGTTCTACTTGTGTTGAAAGGAAAATAATGTAGTAAAATAAATTGTATTACACATATTGTTATGGCTTGAAGTTTCCCAAAACCACACAGAGTCATAGGTGGGGCTTTTCATGGGTGGCTGGATCTAGAGTGTGATTCTGGGATTAAGTGTGTGACACTAGGATTGACTGGCAATGTGATGCTAGGGGTAAGGGTGCCCTACCCTGAGTGTGACTGCTACCCATCCTAAGAGGAGGTAACCTGAAAAGGATATAAGGGACAAGAATATAAAGGAACAAAAAGAGGGTAGTTTACTGCTGTTGTCATTTGTTGCTTGCCACAATGCTGCCTTCTGCCTTCTCTCTGCCATGA